TGCTGAAAGAATACAGAAAATCCCTGAGTGAGTCAAAGCGCTTGGTACCTCAGAAGTCAGTTCCTCTCTGTACTGTTGCCAGTAGAATTACCCTTTGAATCCTAACTTTCTTACAGAAGAGAGACAGTTTACTCCAAATAAGCACAGTGGAGAAGCAAAGGCATATTGGTGTTCCTTTTTCTCTGGTGCTTCATGCATAAGTGCCATATATGTTCCCAGGATTGGGAAGTGGATTTACTGGCTGCATCCTAACATGCTGGGAGAAACACTTTGTGAAATGTTAGTGTGGCATTTTACTTGTCCCAAAAGAGCACAGGGCCAAAGTTATGACTTCAGGGATTATCGGTGAACTGTGTTTAAGCTGTATTCATGAATAACTAACATCCAGGAGAGGGTAAACAAAGACATTGTTACACTCCATGGGTTCTTAAATCATTTGCTTCTCTTTTATAGCTGCATAACACCCAGGAGTAAAAGTTCTGAAAGCAATAAATTTGTCCCTGTGATGTAAGTGCAAATGAAACCAAAAGCCAAATTCCTGTACTTGTAGAAGCAGCAGTATCAAAGATGACTTAGAAAGGCAATAAGGAGCTGCAGAGAAGATTGAAAAGGAAATGATTGCCTGGCCCAAGTCTTAGGTATTGCTGGCAAATCAATGCCTTGCAATGTGAATTGCTAAATCCCTCCAGCAGCAACTGAGTAAGAAAAGTGTATGTTATTCCCAATCTTTCAAGAGCTGCTCTCAATGCTACATCTGAAATCAGAGGACTCTTCTAGCTATTCTTCATGCAAAATAAAAACAGGATGGAAAAATAAATGTACTTGCTGGTTTTTCTAAGTGTAGCAGAATCTGTTAGTTCCTTTTCACTTTTACTGTTCCAACTGTTTCACAGCAAGGGCAAACTTGCAAACTCTAATTCCAATGAACTTACATCAGTTTTGCTCTTTTAAATACATTTTTTTCTCATTACATCCATTAATGAAAGAATGCTTCTTAGACAGAAAGGATTTAAAGGAAAAAACTACAAAGCACATAAATTAACTTTGTTTTTTTAGACATAGTTTTTCTTAGACATAGGCAGTGAATTAGTATCAGCAGAACTGGTTGATGAAAATCAATGTATAAAATAGATACTTTGATTTTCCATTTACAAATCCTGCCTCAAGACTTGCATGAAGGTTGCACACCTGGGAGACTTAGTACAACTCATTTAACAAAAGTATTGCCTAGAACAGAAAAAACCCTCTTTCCTCCAGTCATGCTGCCCACAATACACACAGAGAGATTGAACAGAACACCAGGGGAAAATGGTGCCACTGGGATAAAAGATTTTGACTGCAATTCACGTTTTGGAAAGCTCCATGGTGAAATGGTGGCAGGAACAGAGCTAGATTTTAAGCTAAGCAACTGAATTCAGTCATTTTCTTGCTTTAGAAATGTTTCCTAGTGCACAAGAGAAAACCCTTCTAATGAATTCTGTGCAACTCAGAACAGAAGGAAAAGCAACTGAAAAATGGTAATATCTCAAAAAGTGAAACAGAACAGACCTATTAAAAAGAGCTTTTTTTTTTTTTTCAGTCACAGGTTTAAGTAGTCAAAAAACAACCCCAACACTGAGGCTCTCTTTTATATTCTGCAGTTAGACCTGTAAAGTGTCACTGGGGTTTCTTAATGAAACATCATAGTGTACTGGGAAAAGACAAACAAGTCTTTGTGGTAAATTCATACTGGGCCTGTTTAATTTACTTTGTCTGTTGGTTTACAGGCACTTGTTCATCAGAATATATTCCAAGAAAACGCAAGGTGCCCTAGGTTTATAGACCTTGAAGTCACTTTCTGTTCATAGTTATTGATGAAACTTTATACTGGAAAGCTTTATACTGAAATGAAACTTTATACTGAAATGAAACTTTACACTGGAAAGCCCAACATTACAGACAGGAACTGCAGCTGTAAACTGCAAGGTATGGCCTTGCAGTGTGTGCCTCTCTCTGAATCGGAAAAGGACATTGGGAATAATCTCCCTCCTTCTCCTGATTCTTTTTTCCCTACCATTTCTGCCAACACATAGTGATTCTTAGACGATGAAATGAGAATAGACTAGGTCTTTTTGATTCCTCTCACAATTTCTGCATTTGACTTCAAATTTAACCTTAATTGTCTTCTGTTTCCAGCAAATTTACACCACACGGACTTGCATCATCTCACTCAGCTTCTCCTAGGAAATATGTCAATAAGTGTACTGTACTATATAAACACTTAAAATGACATGCAAACCTGAATGATTAAGAATGTAATGTGCTTCATTGTCTGTCATTCAAGTGACTCGTTACTTCACAAATGAAATGAAACACTAATGTCCACCTAAAATCATCTGTAGCTTGTTGTCTAGTTTGACTATTTGCTTCAGAAATTTCTGTTTTATGGATGATGATTTAATATTTAATCATGGATTTCTAGACAGAAACAGCAACAAGAAAACCTTATATGAATCTCATTCTTTTAAATTATGAGTATTTTGTTTTAAACGAAAGTGTAACCTGGCAGGGAAAGATGCAATTCTCTTGGGATGATTTGGCATTTTTCATTTCAAAACTTTAAAAAAGTTAAAACATTCAAAATTAGAATTGAATTGCCTGAAAGTGTGACAAGAAAAATTGTGAATTTTCTTTGCCAGGAAAAATTAGTTTGGGATTTCTGGTCCCTTGAAGAAAACCAAATGTTGTATTTAATAGTAATTTAAACTGAAACTTCATTCCTTCAAGGTTAATTTTTGCAGCAGCTGAAATCTAAAAGCTATTTTTTTTTTACAGCTTGTGAAGGTTTATCAGCTTTAGGAGACCTTTAAGTAAACTCTGGAAGCACTGCTTGCCTTGCCCTTCAATATATCACAGAAAATTAAACAATGAGCATTTGGATGTCAGAAAAACAACAAACAACTTTCTTTTGGAAAAAATTAGTACAATTGAGTATGCCAAACAGGCAACCTGGACTCTTTCTGTGATTTCTAGCATCTCTGGGGCATGAGTGACACAGTGCTCAATCAGATTAAGCTACATTTGCTGCTGGGAAGCTCTACTGCTTTGGTTCCCAAACACTGCACAGATGAAATGTACACTGTAAATATAGATTTACCTGTTTACACTATGAAAATTTGGACACAAAAATCCTTTCATTCAGTACTTATGATATTCCAGTGATGACTAATTCTAGGAACAATTTCACATGAACAGCTGGTACTGCGAGGCTTGCTAATTAAATATCAAGGCAAATAATTAAGACTCTCAAGCGTTCTGAACTTACAGAAGTCCTGAAAGGTGCTGAGGTAACACTTATCATTCCCGACAGATCTATAAAAACACAACAACAAGCAAAGGGCACCTGTAAATCAGTGACAGGGAGCTTAAGTACCATGGTAAAACTACAGAATTAAGGCTTCTATCCATACAATGTGTGCAAGACAGAGGTGTAAGTCCCCAGCAGAAGAGTGGAAGTTATGTCAAGAGCAGTGAAATAGCCATGTCATTTAATGATAGACTGATTTGACAACATATTTTTATGCATTACTTCACATACATAGTTTAGTCCAGAAATTTCTGTCCACATAAAATCATAACCTTCCCCCCCCAAGCCAAAAATCACATATATAGTCCCATAAACTTCTATATATCCCTAGATGTAGACACAGACATACATGTGAAAGGTAAAAGTGATCCTATGTTTTGGTGTGTTGCCCTCCTTTATAACAATGATCTTCCTGATCACAGGATGATTTATAGTTAACTGATGAAAAGTGATTCAGAAGAACCAACTATTAATGTTTCATATGCAGCCAGATGCCTCTTTTTTGCCTTTAAGTGATGATCAGTGCATATATATGAGCAACAGTAAGTATTCTTATAAGCAAAATCTTGCACATTACAGTCTCATCCAGCAGGAAAGATTGTTAATTGGTGCCAGATATTCAATGAAAAATTACTTTGTGTTTCCCATAGGAAGATGTAATGCAAGTAAAGGAGGATGCCATTTATATGTAAAATTATTTATTTATATTAGTTGGAATTTTATAAAAACACTTAACCAAAGACATGTAAGTATGGTAAATTTCAGCTCTTTGGATTTTTCTCCTGGTAAAACTATAAGGAGTATGAAATGGCACTTGGTACAGAGAAAACAAAGGAACTGTTGACAGAGATCCCTGTTATTCCTCAGTATTCCCAAGTACAAATGAACAAGAGACTTCCCAGCATGGAACTATCACATTTAGTTTCATTTCAGCTATGCCTGTGGTGTAAACATGTGACATATTGTGCTGAAAATGGTAGCTGGACTAGTATTTGACATAGTTGAAAAGAGAAAGATGGGAATGAAAATTTGACATGAGTTGCAAGCTTTCTTCATGAGTTTGGAGCACAAAGCAGAGCTCCTCTTCATTTGTGCTTTCTGGAAACTATGGTAGCTAACAGATGTGATGCCTGCAGAAAACAACAAATAAGAATCACCAGCCAAGGGAATTGTTAGGCTCTGAAATTAAACAGGATGCTGCAGTTGTTCATTTCCTGCAACTTAGTGTTATTCAAATCACATCTAAAAACTGGGGACAAGAAATAGACTTGCAGACCACAATAAAAATAAACACCAAGGTCAGTAAAGGCCAAAGTGAGGTGTCCAAATAAAACACCCTGTAACATAATGCCATGCTTAGATGTACAGAAAAGAAATTATATTTTAGATAACCAAATACAAGTAAGCAAATACATTACTTGCAAAAACCAATACAAATAAAGTCAGGAAAGGTTTTCTTGCTATTTTTCTTAGGAAAAAGAGGATCTTCAGTCAAGAAGAAAATAATTGAGTCAGATTAAAAGGAAAAACTATATAAAAGCATATTCAGCTTTCCTTTGACTAACTTTAAAAATTAATTACAAGAAAATTATTAATGGATTTTGAAATGCTAGTCCAAATTAAAAAGGCTAAATATCATTATTACTTCTTTCAGGTGGTAAAAATGATGATTGTGGTTGTGCTGACATTTGCCGTCTGCTGGCTGCCCTACCACATTTACTTCATAGTTACTGGGATCTATCAACAATTAAATCGGTGGAAATATATTCAGCAAATCTATTTAGCCAGCTTTTGGCTTGCCATGAGCTCTACAATGTACAATCCCATTATCTACTGCTGTCTTAATAAGAGGTAAGAGCTGGTTATGAAACGAGGTGCATAAATTCACCAAGAACATAAACTGCTTAAATGGAAAATAAATTTCACTTACATAGCTTCCAGATAGTGGGGAAAAAACAAAATGCAAAAAACTGCATGACCTCTTTCTTTAGGTTTTTACTTGAAAAGAATCCCCAAAAACACAAAGGCAGACTTCCAGTAAATAAAATTTGAGAGCAAAATTCAGTTTTCAGAAACCAGTCCTTTCCATGAGCACCTTCAAAATTTAAAAAAAAATCTATAGCAGTTTAATGGTTTTGGTTTGCAAAATATAAAAATAAAGAAGATGGTAATTAGTGATATAGAGTGAAAGCTGTATGTTCACTAATTGCAGCCCCAATTTTTGTTTTGCTGGAAGAATGCAATACAAAATGTGATTTACTGTGTTCAGTAGATCTCAGCATTAGATTTCTACTGCATCTCAAGATCTGCAACAGGTTGATAAACATTATACAAATGTTTATATTCCCATTACTTAATACTCAATTACAGTATTGTTTGACAGCAACACATTATGCTCTGAATTTCAAAGGCACTGCACCTGTTGAGTTTGGTGACATTTTACAGATACTTGCTAGTCTGAGACTACTGCATTGCAGAATGGACTCAAGTCTTTAATTTCAATTTATAGAACCAGGATCTACACAAACATCATCCTGCCCATCTTATTCATCAGTTTTTCTTCTAGCATTATTGAATAAAGAATACCAGGAACAGTTAATTACTTCACAAACTCAGTACGAATCAGTATTGAATAAGTAATCTTAAATATTATTTTAAACCTCTTTTGACTTAGCAGCCAGTGCAAAGTTTAATTACTGTTAAAATTTATAACAATATTGCAAGGTATTTCTAAACCCCCACTAAAGATCATGCAGTACCTGTCAAAAGAAATCTAATAAAAAATGAAGTGAACAAATCCTAACGAGTTTTTATTGGTGTAAAAACACTGGCAACATCCTTCTTGATGAGGATAACTTGTGACAATCAACATTCATGATCTTCTAAAAAGATGAGGTAATGACTAAATTCATAGAGCCTTCTGCCTTCTGATGAGCTTTTCATCCTTTACAACTGTTTAAAGACAAGGTAAAGTTTTAGCATGCCAGAACAAAACTAACTCGAATGGCAAATATTCCATTAATTTCATCAGAAACCAGATTTCAGTAAGTGTCCAGCATCTGCAAAATGAAAGGCAGGAAGAATGAGACCTCTTTTTTTTTTTTTTCAATTACTATCATAAAACTTCTAAACCAATCCCATTTTCTTCAAAAACTTTTTATGGCATAGTTACAAAAGTATTTATAAAAGAATAGTATCTCTGATGTGGCTTATGTTGACACTTGCAAACTGAAAAATTAAATGTCTGGATTAAACAATACAACCAAAGAGAAATTAATATTTTGAGACATACTAAAGGTCACCTTATTCAGAATATGATGCAAGAATGAAGTCCTGGTGACAGTTTTCTTATAATTAAGTTCCATATTGAAATGAAGATACCAGAATGTCTGCTTCCTTTTCATTAAGGAGGAAAATAGAGCTCGTTGCTGGGAGTCAGATCAATTTGTGCCTCTGCTGGATCTAGTATCAGACAGAGTTAGAACATCCATCCCCAGCCTCATCTTCCAGGCTAATTAGGATACCACATATCTAGATAAAGAGAGCATTATTTCAAGATGAATTAAAAACATGCCCTGAATTAGAAAGAGGATGGAAGGTGCCAAGAAAAGTAATACAGTTTAAAGATGTTTTGGTTTTACAATGCCTGTCACTAAATCCATTTCCATCAGAGGTTCTTTCAGTATTTTTCCAAAATATGGACAGCATGTAAACAGAGAATGATTAACAGCAACCTACCTGCTTGGGTGTCATCATGTGTGAACTCCATGATGACATTGCAAACTTTAAAATTTGAGGAAGGATCTCACTTCTGCGAGATTCGTTAACTTGAGCTGAACACTTGATCTGAATTTTTACCCGCAGTCATCACTGTGGTAGCTTAACCACTGTTCCAAAAAACTTACAGACAAGATAAACAATGGATCTAATGGTTAAAACAAAACAAGAGAAGCAAGACAAGTGAGAAAGTCAGATAAACTTTAGGTTTAGGTGAAAAGGTGTTCTTTTTGCAGTTATACACAGATACATAGAGAATTGCTTTTCTAATATATTAAACTTTGATTCTGGAAATGCATACACACAATATGTAACATTGGTCTTTACGGTGAAAGTGTTTGCAATACTCCTACATGCCTCTGTAAGAGTACTGCAAACACTAACACTAATGCTCTAAAGCCTCAAAATGCCTGTTTGTATGTTGCTCATATTCAGATTTCATCTTTCTAGGATCGTCTTAATTATTAAAAAATTATTTTCCAAATCTTTTACATGAAAAACTATTACTTGCTACATCATTCCCATATAAGCATCTCTGTTAGAGAGAAACACAGAAGGGATACTGAAATTTGGAAACTGGGATGGCATTTTAGAGAAAAGAAAGTTACAAAGTTTCTTGCTGAGAGAAGATGAAAATATAGGTGCAGATCTCATTAGAGGTCAAATCAAAACAACATCTGTGAAAACAGTTCTGTGAAAGTTGGTGTTTGTTTACTTTTCACAGTCAAAAAACAAAAGGAAATTCATTATAAGGAAAATACCATTGTTAAAATGCAGGGACAGCATATAGAAAATCAGAAACTGAAAGGAGTTGTTACCACTATCTTTTCTGCCCTACTCTGACATCAGTCAAGTAAACTCCCACTGACTTCAGCACACCCAGGCCTAGGGGCAGGATAATTGGCCAAGTCAGTATCCGGCAGCACTGTGTATTTTCAGATGAAGGCCTGGGGCTGGCTCTCACAGGCACAGGCTTTCACCAGGCTTCTTTCCTCCTAGGTTCCGAGCCGGCTTCAAGCGAGCCTTCCGCTGGTGCCCCTTCATTGAGGTGTCCAGCTACGACGAGCTGGAGCTGAAGGCAGCCAGGTTCCACCCCACACGGCAGAGCAGCCTCTATGCTGTGTCCAGAATGGACTCCAGCATGACGGTGGTGTTCGACACCAACGATGGAGACAGTGTGCACACCAGCCATAAAAAAAGAGCGGCTCCAAGGGACCTGAACTTCAATGGTTGTTCACAGAGGAATGCCAAGACTGTCTCCACAGCCTCAAGCCTCATAAGTTCACTGCACACATCAGCAGACGTTTATTCCTAAACACTTCACGTTGCTAGAAGGGCAACGCTGGACAATGTTCTCCTACTTTGGGACATGGTGTTCTTACTACACGAAAGCAAACCAGATTCCACTAACAAACCCTAGGTATAACTATTGTGAGACTTTTGGGAATCTCTCACTTTTTTTGCTTTGTAGAGGAAGAAGAATTTGAAGACGTGTATGTCTCAGTCCAAAAGCATAGTTGCACCTTAGCCACAACAATGTTGTAGGGATTAGCCAGAATAAACTAATGGAATAAAAATCTTTGTTTCAGTTGTCTCTGACCTGCAGCATTTATGTTTGACTTACTGAAATGAAACAGGCTCCTTTACTTATTGAAGCAGAAATGTACCGTGTTTTCCATTACAAGTGTATTAATTCAACAGTAACACAATTATGTGAGATTTGATTATAAAGATGTATTTATAATGAACATCTAATGAGCCCCAAGTCTATTAAGCTGTTTTACAATTTAGCCCCATTCCCAAACAAAATTAAGTTCACATGTATGCAGTTCAGCTCTGTCCGCAACAGCACAATTTTGCAAATATATATGAGAACAGGAGAACATGACTGAGAGACTAAGTTAAATTCAACCAAAGCTTGCATATTAGTAAGCATTAGACTCTAATGGGATCTGTACTTCCAGGGGAATATATTGTTTTGATGAATCTCTCATAGCTTTGTATCTTAGTTCTAAGAGTAAGATCTAAGGGTAAGGTATGCCTCTAGTGACCTTAACAGAACCTGTTTGACTTTAGAAAGGCCAAAACATTTTAAACTAGAGATTCATATATGAAAAAAAAAAATACCACTGTGGCAATGGACTCTTCTCTGCAGAAGATAAAGTAGCAAGACTCATGATAAAAAGCTTCTACTGGAAAAAAAAAATATTGGGGCTCTTGTCACAAATTTTCCATAGCTTGATGGATGTAAAAATACTCCTGTGCCCACCTCTAAAAATATGCTAGGCATTCTTACACAGACATGTTCCCACTGAATTCAGACAAGATCCACTCACCATCACTGTTGCAGAGAAAGCTGAATGTAACAAAAGGGACCAGAGAGCAGCCTTTGTTTTAGTTAAATGACTGTGTCAGTTGCGTGGATAGACTGGTTCCATGAATGTTTGTTGTCAAACAGTTAATAAAAACATAAGCAAGAGTGTGAATGTCTTCCTGAGTTAGCCAAACCAGCACAGGACAGAATATATCTGGCTGAACCCAATACAGTACCAAAGCTGAGCAACTAATAAATAGATGTTTGAAGAGAGAAAGGCCTAAGCTGGCTTTAGTCCACAATCCTTCCCAGCCACTGGGAATGATCAGCATTGTGAAAGTGAGCATATCAAACAAGACTAGCAAAACAGGAATCATACTTGTATTGTGATTCATGTATATAGTCAATTGTTATGTTCTGCTAAGTGTTAACTTGTATAGTGATTTCAGTGCACTGTGGTATCATTTACTGAATCAAAATCCTGCATATGGTAAAATAGCCTCAAATACATAAACCTGATACATAAACTCTCCATGTATGGAATAACTGAAGAACGTGGTCATAGAAAAAGTGTGAGTCTGGAATTGTGATACATTTTTGTAAGAGTACAATATTCTATCTATGGCCTGATCTTAAATCCACTGAAACAAAGAGCTCCATTCATTGATGACTTCCCTTTTGAATGTCAGTCCATGCTTTTCAACAGTCTAGTTCTCTAAAAAAAACAGTTCTTCTCCAACATTGTAATTGTTATCCTCTCACTTCTTCTTGGTTTTTTTTAGTGTGTAGTAATCCAGCAAGTGTCATGCAATGCCTATAAAATACTTATGAATTTTTTCCCTCTGAAATACTCTGTTTTAAGAACTTAAAAATCTTCATGTTTTTAACAACTCTGTTCAGAAGATCCAGGATAGACACTCACAAAAAATGATGCTAAGTGTATTAACCTGATGGTGATGTACTACAGACACATGATGTGAAGTCCTCTGTCTGCTCATGTAGAACTTCTGAGAAACACACATAGAGAAAATGTATACTTGTTAAATAAACAGTCTTTTCTAACTATGGCTATTATGAAATCAGTGTTGATAAATTTATTGTTTTTAAATGTAGAGTACAAATTTGAAAAAGCTGTATACAAAAGTACAGCAGCATAAATGTATAAAACATCATCTTCATGTAACTTTTAGGATTTTTCATTGACAAATATCAAGAAAGCAATGGTGGTTTCCTCACAGCTGTACCTCCAGTGAAACAATTCCACTTGAAGTGATATGACTGCCTGGACAATTTATCCATTGATAATCTCACTATATTTTGGTGAAATTATCAAAATCTCACCAAAATATAGTGAGCTATCAAAAACACCCTCACCATTCCTGTAGTTCTTTTCTCTGAAGTTACAGGATATTCCCGTATAACAAATTAAGAAATCTGTGCCTGTAATCACACCATTGCTTTAACTAAACATTACAGCAATAACGTGGTGCAAATCAATCTCTGTGTCTCAGCCCCCAGGAACATGCAGGGTTACACGGTTAAACAAGTAGCACAGCAAAAGCTGTGACTGACAGCAGCTTCCATATGAATTACTATTTCTGAACAAACATTTTCAGCAAGTGGCCTGCTCACTAGGCAATTCCTTAGAGAGCTCCTGACACCCCTCACTGCGTGTAGAGAAATCAGGTCATCCTCAGTTTGTGTCAGTAAGACAGCTCAAAGTAGTAGTGGGCATGCTGAGCATGTGCTCTTGTGTGATTGCTGTGCAGCACTGTGGCCGTCTCATGGCTGCAACCTTCAATCCACATTCTTAATTTTGCTAGGACTGAGTCAAGGAAAACAGACAGATGCAGAGCTAGCTTCTTAAGGAGAACGGCACAAAAAATACTCCAAAACAGCTGCAATTAAACAGCATCAGGAAAGGTCTTCTGATCCTGAAACCTTCTGACACATGTTCATCCTTCTCAGCATAACAGTTGGCAGTATTTCAGCCCAGGCTCCTACTGGAGTCTGCCTGAAACATGTATGTGATGAGATCATCACTCCCTGAACAGTCACTTTGCAAGGAGATACCCCTGGTAGAGAAAAGATTTATCTTCCACATCACCAAAGACAAAATAATCAGCATCAGTTTACTCTGTCATTCCCTTGACATTGCCTAAACTTGAAAAAAAAAAAAAAAAAAAAAAAAGAAAATAAAAAACAAAAAAGGAAAAAGGAAAGAAAAAAGAGGGAAGAAGGGACAAAAGAAAAAACAAAAAAGGGAGGAAAGGCGGAGGAAAGGCGGAGGAAAGGCAACTTAAAAAGCTAAACACAACTATTTAAACAATAAAAACCCCCCCTAATTTCTTGTCTCAAGTCTTTGTGGTGGTGCATTCTCCTCCCCACACTTTTCTTTGAACTCTACAACCTCAGGAATCCCCACTGGGCATTGGCCTTTGTGCGATGAGTTGGGTGGTCAAGCTTCCCTTGACCATATGGCAACTCTTGTGTGGTTAAGCTGGGAACATCCCTGAGTTGAAGGACAAGAGCACAGTCAGTTCTCCACTTACAGCCTTGGGACCTTCCCTGAACCATAATCCAAGGGGAATAATACCATTGTGGCTGGAGTTTTGGAAATAATTTGAAATTGTATTGGAAGCAATTTGAAATTGTTTTGGAAACTCCAGTCATTACTGATCTGAGAATGGAAATTTTTACATTTAGAGTACATCTCACTACCCTATAAATAGGGGTCCTAAATGAGGCCCTTTGAGCTTCCCCGCACTTCAGTGTGGTGCACCAGAATCTCCCTTTGAATGGGAGATGGCTCTCAGAGCTTGCAAACTCTCATGTCTATGAGAAAGCTGAAGACAGGGCATAGGTGGATAAAGTCTCACTCCTTGAGCCTCAACCGCTGAGAAAAGCCAAGGCACTCAACACAGATATTTGACTGAAATCAGAGGGAATTTTTCACAGGTACTTCTGTACACACTTCACCATCTCTGTGTGCATGCATGTGTGTGAATTGATTTAAATACCCTGCAGCAAGTACAGCATAAACACTGACATCTCAGAACAATAATTAACTACTGCAATTTTAGTCAATTTTATTGAATTACTTTATAAATGCTGCATTAGTTAATTGATTAAGCACTGCTTAAATCCTTCAAGCAGGAAACATTGATCAGGTCTAAGACTAAGTTTTTCAGTGGTGTCCACTCTGAACCTTGTGACTCTATGGGAAGGTCTTCCTTCCCCCTTTGCACCCTTATCACTTGCATCCCCGGTCTCCAGGCAAATCATTCTAGTGATTTTAAGCCAATATTCCTTTGTATGCTCCATTTACATAGTAAATAATAGAGTGAACATTGCCATTGAACTTGGCTGCACTTTCACACATTTATAGTAAAAGTTACTTTTCTCAATACCTGTGACAGTGATTCTTTAAGCTATCTAAACCACTCAACTGGGACAAATTGGCATAATCAGCAGAATACTAAATCAGGATTTGCTACAGTCTTCCACATAAAAGCATGATCTTTAGAGAAAAAATGAACTCTAAGCAAGCTCAGGGTACTCAGACAGGATGCTTTCAGCAGATGGCAGCCTGGATCTCTTTGGCAGGAGTCCCTTGACAACCTTCCTTCCAGTTCACTTACAGAACATTGTCAAGGTTGGGAGGCACTGGCAGACCTGCACAGAGTGAGCTACTTACAGCATGTTTACATCTGGTAACTAAAGGTGTCACTGAGGAAGAGCACTAATCAATACCAACATATATTTTCAAAAATAACATACAGAAGGAACTGATGAAAAGGAGAACAAAACAGGTTTTAGAAGTTGGTGCTTTTTTATCTAAATAAAACCATTCCGGTATTTTGGAAGTGGATGTTCCTCCTTTAATACTGGGGAATTTTTTTCACACCAGTGAAGAAGAACCTATTTCACTGATATAAAACCTTTATAAAACCTGATTTCAAAACCTTTCAGGCTGTGCCCACCAGGATACAGGATTTAGA